AGTAAGTAATTGAGTACCTACCTGTAAGTAAGTACCTGTAAGTAAGTACCTGTAAGTAAGTAAGTAAGTAAGTAAGTACCTGTAAGTAAGTACCTGTAAGTAAATACCTGTAAGTAAGTAAGTAAGTAATTAAGTACCTACCTGTAAGTAAGTAAGTAAGTAAGTAAATAAGTAAGTAACTAAGTAAGTAAGTAAGTAAGTAAGTAAGTAAGTAAGTAAGTAAGTAAGTAAGTAAGTAAGTAAGTAAGTAAGTACCTGTAATATTTTAAATTCTATTCTGAATTTGACAGGGAGCCAGAATAGTGCTTTAGGGTTTTTACTAATTTTAAAATTTATTAGTGGATTAGCACTTGCTAAATTTAGAAGCAGTAACTGAGGTCTATAAATGTTATTGATCAACATTAATGTTAACAGGTGACGGTGCAAGCTGTCACACATTTTGTTCATGTGTGTCATTTATCCACTGTGTGACTATATTTGAACCAAACTCAGCTGTGGAATGTCAATGATAAGTCTTAAGAGAGCAACATGTCAATATGTGGCTCATGTTTTCTGTTGAAGAATGTTCATGGGTTGACTGGGTCATTTTAGTGCTTTAGAATTAGCCTTTGCTAAAAATTTTCAGTGTATTAGTGCTTTAGAATTAGGGGACCTAAATATTTGAGTCAGTGTTTTAGGGCTAGTGGAACTAATTGTTAGATTAATGCTGCCCACCACTGGCTGCTGGTTGTGCTAAAGTCTCTCACAGAGCTTGTGTGTCGCACAATTATCTTTTGTTCATCATAACTCAGGGCCTTTTTRTAGTGTTCAGAACTGAGTCACACCTCCTGAAAATGACAATCTATGGAGGGAACATGATCTCACTTATCGGCTAACACTGTTTTCTAACAAGGAAGCAAGATATATACAGTATATATATATATATATCAATGAAAGTGAAGCAGCTGTCATGTTAGTGTGGAAGGTTTCATGTCTAAACGGGACCAGTCTGGTGGCCAATCTTCATTAAGTGCACATTGCACCAGTAAGAGTGTGAAGGTTCAATTAGCAGGGTCAGAGCACAGTTTGGCTCAAAATACTGCAATGTACACAACATTATGGTGACATAGCAGAGTTCAAAAGAGGACAAATTGTTGGTGCACGTCTTGCTGGAGCATCTGTGACCAAGACAGCAAGTCTTTGTGATGTATCAAGAGCCACAGTATCCAGGGTAATGTCAGCACATATGTAAATATATAAGTACAGACCAAAAGTTTGGACACACCTTCTCATTCAAGGACTTCTCTATATTTTCATGACAATGAAAATTGTAGACTCACATTGAAAGCATCAAAACTATGAATTAACACATGTGGAATTAAATGTGAAACAACAAAAAATATGTCCTATATTCTAGGTTCTTCAAAGTAGCCACCTTTTGCTTTGATTACTGCTTCACACACTCAATGTTGTAAAAGTGATTTGTGTCTTCAGCTCCTGTTTAGGGTTGTTCTGAGTGCAACTTCTTTTCCTGTTTCCTGTAAAAAAAAAAAAGAGGCCCTATCTGAGACTGTCTCCACTGACTTACAGTGCATTGCTGCCATCGTATGGCAGAGGAGCTTTGTTTCCAAAGATACTTTTCAATGCTTTTTAGTTTTCAAAAGGAGATACTTGAGCGAGCAGTAATTGCTCTGTTTGTTTTARTATTTAACCTTACAGTAGCTTCAGTTGTAACAAATTGTGTACGTTGTATCGTCTTTCAAACTCAATAAGTGTTTCTGTTTGTTGATCTGGTGAAACTCTACACTTTGGACTGGCAATTCTTTTTGAGATCAGATATTTTATACACACTTACATACTTTTCTTTTTCCTTTATGGGCCCACACACAAGCACATACACACAAACACATCAGTGTGTCTATCTTTTTTAACATTTTTATTTGAATTTGTCAATACAGTTTACTTTATCAACAGATGCAATATCATCAACAACATAAACCATATACAATACTCTTTATAAACCTTTGTTGGTCCATAGTAATCTGGAACTCACACTTGTTGCGCTCAGCACCTCATTTGAGCACAAAAATCTCCATCACAGTCAGCCATTATTTCCATCTGAAAAACACAATCTTTTAGTTAGAAACTCACATAAAATTAACACTTTTTGTGTCCAATGTTTGAATTGGAGACCACTTTTCCAGTAATTAGAATTCCACGCCAAATCACTCARTGGTTTGAACCAAATGGCAAATTTGTCAATTGTGATCCCACAGCACTGTCTCTTAAATTTAAATAAAATGCTGACTTCAAAATAAAAGCATGAATAAATGTCTGTAAATCATGGGTGTCAAATTCATTTTCACTGAGGGCCACACGAGTGTTACGGTGGYCCTCAAAGGGCCAGTTGTTATAATGCTATGATTCATTTTACCTGGCATCTGAAAATACATTTCCTCGAAGGTATTTTGAATCTGAAAAGAGCTTCAGAGTGAGAAGTAGTGTTGAGAGCTCAGGAGATAGTTTCAGTTTCACTCTCAGTTTCACCCGTTGTTTGCTTTTTTACTGTCGAGAGCCTGCAGGAGTCATGGGCGGGGTGTGTGGGGAGGGGGTGCGCCCTGCCATGAGGAAGTTCAGCTTAAAGACACGTCTCAGAGGTGTTTCTGGTCCCAAAAGGTGTTTCTGGTCCCCACCTGTCGTTTTGCTCCTCAGCATGGCTTCCTAAAACACTGCAGGATTTCTCAAACATGCATGAATGAGTCAGAGCAAGGCTTTGGTCATGTTTTTTATGTTTTTTCCCCACACAGGTTCGGATCCTGCCGACAACGCCAATAAACTGTCGTGGATACGTTTATTAAAAATGCAGAAAAACGTTGGAATAAATGCACAGAAAGTCTGCATGTATGGTCGTGAATTATTTAATTCCAGGCAACAATAAACAGAAAACAAATCATGGAAGTCTGTTGAATGTGGCAACCGTCATCAGATGGCAAACCAGTGATATAACCTCATGTTAACACCATGTGACAGTTTACAACCAATCACAATCTATCACAACCYGACTCATGTTACTATCAGCCAATGACAGGCTCTCAGCTCAAAGAGTTAACATATCGCACAAGAGAGGTCAGTCCGATGATGGAGTCCTGACGTCTGGAACAAACAAATTAAGAGTCGACATAAGTTATCATAAGATATGAGCAGTGGACAGTGTCAAGGTGAAACAGATATAAATAATTAGTCCATGACAGAAAGTATAACATTATAACATGATATAAAACTCAAAAAAAGTTGATTTTACATTTTGCCCCTTTAACTTTGACTGAAAACTTTTCTTGTC